AATTTTGAAAAACTATTTGGAGCTTTCAAAAACCAAAATTGAAGATTTGGAAAAAAAAATCTTGAATTGAAAGTTAAGCTTGAATGCTTAACAAAACAAAAAGAAATAATTTCTAAAAAATAATTCATCTATGTCAAAAATGGCAAGATGCTCACATTGCCATTTTCATGGATATATTTTTGACAAGTATGGTTGCTAAAGGAACAAGGGACATTGAAACTAATGTTCAAGGATCCAAAGAAATTTGGATACCAAAATCCAATAAATATCTCATGTAGGTGTGTGGGAGCAATGATGATGAAAGTGAAGATATTCAAATGATCTAGCCACTTTTGAAAAGGAATGTGTAATATCTAAGCATATTTTAATTATCTTGCATAATTGGTTGCTCGTTTAGTTTAAGCATGCATGAGTTTTGATTTTAAATAATTTTATGTTTTTCATCTCATGTATGTTGAAAACTGTATTATGATGAACATTTTAAAGTTTTAATAATTTTCATAAATGTTTGTTCATCATTGTCATAACCGTTTTTAGGCTGTAACAATTGTTTATTGTTTTTAAAAAACAGTTATGACTTTAATTTTGAGAAATTGGTGATTTTGAATTAATTTGAATTAAATTGAAAAGGAGTCGCCATCGACCTTTGGGTTAGGTGGGTCGGATACCTAAAAACGTCTTTTAAAAACAATTTTAAGAAAAATCATCTTTTAAGACAAAAGTTGGTATGCGTTTACCAAAGATTCGATTAAAATGGGTTCGGGAGTCTGTTACGCATAGGGAATGATTAGCACCCCCAATAGCGCCCAAAATTGGTACTGTGTCACTTACACGTTGTCGTAATGGTGAAATTTATAAATCGAATATAAAATTAAAATATAATCATTTTATTGAATGTGGATTAATTCGCTTCGAATTAAGTATTTAAAGAAAATCCTTTAACTTGATAAAAAATCTTGAAATTTGCAATCCTCCGTCGGGAAAGCTATTTCAATCATTTTCTATTGTTAAAGAATATTCCCTTTTCGATAAAACGCTAAGTGAATATAAATTAAAATTTGACATTTTACTTAAAATACAATGAAATAAATTGTGAATTAAAATAACACATATTGTATCAGTAAAATAAATTAATTAGTAAAATAAAATTGATTTATTTCAAGTTCGTATTTGTTCGAATGTCGTATTGGATTGTACCACTTCGATCAAGTGATACTTTCCACGCCCGTTCTACAAATCGTTGTTCTTGAAAATATTCAAATAAATAAAATATATTTAAGGAAATATGATAGAAACAAATACGATGTAAAATAAAATATTTACAACATATAATAATAATATTTACAACATGTACATACATAGGGGACTGAAATAAAAATAAACAAATATTACAAACCGAAACACAAATGAATAAAAGTAAGTATTTGAACTTACAAGGACTAACATGGTAATTACAGGAACAATGACTCTTTAATAACAATAATTATTATATTACTAAAATCATTTAAGTAAATTTAAATGTTATTTAAAAAAACCTAATACGTGATCTCATGAAAGTAAGTGATAGTTGGTAGAATAATAGTGTTGAATAGGTGCAAAGTTCCATATTTGGTAGCTTTTTCTTAGGATTCCATTTACTTGCGCATCATCATATTCTCACTAATCAAGAATTCGAAGCTTTCTACTTCGCTAAAATAACAAATAATATTAATAAAACTTAAAGGAGTAATATAGTATTAATAAAAATTAAAAGAACTAAAATGGTATTAACAAAATACACTAAAGCTAAAATCACAAACATTAAATAATACATGTACTAAATATAAAAATAACCCATTAATAATATATACTAAAATAAAATACCCTAAAAACATGGAGGATCAGATTATAATTAAACCTAAAACACTCAATATTAAAACAGTGACCAAAATAAAACAGACATAAATCCTGGGCCAAATTCGAATATTAGTAAATATAACATAAAACATAAACTAGTGACTGAAATTAAATTATTGAAAACTAAAAACTCGAAATAAAACAATAATGATTTCATTAATGACCAAAATATAAGGTTACAAGGGAGGAAGGACTTAAATAGAAATTACCCCTTGCGCATGCATCAGACCCTTAAACGGTGTCGTTTTGATTAATATATATATATATGAAATATAAGGCCAAAAATGGCCAAAGCTTCCCATTTGATTCATTTCCAAGTAGAGAAGAAAGAGAGAAAGAATGAGAGCTCCAGAGAGCTCTCGGGAGACGGCGAGCCTCCGTCGTGCCGGCTGCCACTTACTGGCGGTCACCGTCGTACGTCGGTACCGGAATGGAGAGAAAAGGACGCTATTCGACGCATCTCCAGGCCCTAAGCAAGGACCTGGCCTAAAGTGGCTCAAAAGTAATGGATCTAAGGAGAAACCTTTCGGTTTCTCCATCTCCGGCGACGAGGTATGCTATATCCTCTCTCTCCTATTTTCTTTTATTTTTTAAACTTTGTGTTTTGGGGTTTTTTTTTATTCACTCTATGTTTTTTTCGAATCCTCCTCTCACCGTTCTCCTTTTTTCGTTGTTGTCTCTCATTTATTTTATCTTTGCATACATCATTGGTAAAGACTAATGGGTTTAGGTAGATTTATTCGGATTTTCTGGGGTTAGGTATGACTTTGTTTTGATTTTGGGATGATTTGTCGGTTGTTGATGATTTGTTGGTGCAGATTTATCAATGGTTCGGTTAATGTCTCAGCAATGACTTCGGGATGGCTTGACGGTGATGAGGGCAGCTTGGCTTGAACGTTGAAGACGACTGGGTTGGTGGCTGGAGTTGGCTCGGCTGGAATCTGGATCATCGAAGGCGGCTGGAGGCTTTATTTTAGGGTTTTAAACCCTAATTGTGTTTAGGTCACCTCCGTGTCGGGTTAGATCCGAGCCTAAATCTTGTAAACGGGTCGATTTTTGGGTTTGCATATGTTAGGCTGAACCGGGTTTGGACTCCACATTTGGGTTTCTGAGTTATAATTGGATTGGGTCTACAAAACAGTGTAATGCACTAATTAATAATAAATAATACTAATAATAATATTTTTATTTCTAATAATAATATAATAATAATAATATATAATATATAATAATAATAATTTTAAAGTCTGGACAAAAACGGGTGTCTACAGCTGCCCCTCTTTGAACATTCTTGTGTTAACAAGAATAGGGCAAAGAAAAAAAAGACAACCAGTTTTTGTCTGATTTTTTTGTTTTTTTTAAGATTTGTTGTTTGATTTGGGAGACGACACTGCTCATACTTGATGAAGAGTTCGGGTCGTCTAAGGGTGACAAGACTCCTACATAATGAGGAAATATAGTTAGGGGATGACACTGCTCATACGTGATGAAGAGTTCTTGGCCATTTTTAGGAAGGGTGATAACTCGGTTCCTACGTGATGAGGACGACTGGTTATCTAGGTTGACATAGCTCCTACATAATGAGGAAATCTGATCATGTGATGACACTGCTCATATGTTCATGAGTCTTGGCCATCTAAAGGTGATAACATGGTTCCACTCTGATGGGACGACTGGTTATTTAGGTTGACACAACTCCTACATAATGAGGAGATCTGGTCAGGGGATGACACTGCTCATCTGTTCATGAGTCTTGGCCATCTAAGGATGATAACACTGCTCATATTGTGATAAGTCTTGGTTATCTAGGGTTTACAAGGTTCCTACGTGATGAGGAAATCAGGTCGGGTGATGACATGACTCATACGTGATGAAGAGTTCTGGCCATCTAAAGGTGATAACACGATTCCACTCTGATGGGGACGACTGATTATCTGAGTTGACACAGCTCCTACATAATGAGGAGATCTAGTTAGGTGATGACACTGCTAATCTGTTCATGAGTCTTGGACATCTAAGGGTGATAACACGGTTCCACTCTGATGGGGACGACTGGTTATCTAGGGGTGACACGGCTCCCACGTGATGAGGAGATCTGGTCAGGTGATGACACTGCTCATCTGTTCATGAGTCTTGGCCATCTAAGGGATTTTGGTTTCAAAAGAAATCGACTCAGAGATGATGCTTCAAAAGAAGTTGTCTCAAAAGAGACAAAAATTTGTTTCCTAAGAAACAAACTCAAAGGTTTTTTATGTCTCAAATGAGATAAAATTTGTTTTGAAAGAAAATTGTCTCAAACGAGACAATATTTTGTTTCGATAGAAACAACATCAAATGATACTGATAGTATGCTTGTTCCTGCTGGTGGAGGAAATGCCTTCAGAAGATATGATAGTTCGCATCAGGATGTTGAATCCCCAAAGATGCCCCAATATTCGATGTTAATTGCCTCAAAGATGCTCCAATATTCGATGTTGAATTTTTAAATATGCCCCTATTGTTCCTCATTGCTTGCTTCAGCGCTGATTCTAAACATGAGCTTTGTGTGAGAGAGCCACATGTCATTTACCAAGATTTACTCTAGAGAGTTTGTCTTGTTTGAAAAGTTTTTTCTTCTTCTTTTATTTTCAAGATCTGAAAATATCAGTTAGAAGAGTTTTGAAAAATGTTTAATCAAAGGTTTTGAAAATATTGCCCCTTTCTAGGTTTTAAATTTGACAAATCATAAAAATAGAGTTCATTGGATATCAAAGAATTAATTACACTGTTAATCCTTCAATAAATTATAGCTATTTGACAAATGTCAAGATCAAAGCTATCTTTGGGAAAAGTCTCATATTATTATGTTTGGTCAATGGTTTGAATGTCTCAGGTTTTTTTGGTCAATGGTTTGATGGGGTAGCTTGTATGCTCCTCAATTGGAAGTGTTCTCCGATTCCCAGCTCTCATGATCACACTCAATTGTGCGATGACTTATCAAGGAATTTGTGCGATCGTGTCAGCTGCACCATTTTTATATTCGAGCCACCTTTTCAGGTTTTCAACTCGAATCCTCCTTTGATTTCAAAACGTCATTCAAAATTTACGTCTTGAACTCTCCTTTGCTATTTTTCCTATCATGCATTAAAGATTTTAGAAAACATTTTGCAAATAAAGATTAATCCTGATGGGCGGGATGAAATATGAAGATAGTCTCTTTTGTTTGGAAATCCATGTATGATTATAAGGGACTTTTTAAGGCATGTAATGTAGGCCATGGTTCACGGTTATGAAAGAAAAGGATAAATAGGCCCAAACAAGTGTTTCAGGGTATTGAACCAAGGATCAATTCATTCTGATGTCTTCAATACTGTCTTGCTCAATTTGAATCTGCTCATATGTGTCTCTATCTTGATGCTCTCTGGATGCTCCATGATCTTCGAGTGAAGTGATTTAGTGATTCTAAATGATTGTGCTAAATCAATCTCATAGTAGACCAGTAATATCTAAACCTCATGATCTGTCTAACTATTGTGAATCCATTTGCATGTGTTCCACAAACCCCTTCATGCACTTCTTCAAGTATTTTCTTGGTCTCAATTCTATCTACACATCTCAAAAGAACCTGATCTTTTCCTTTTTTGTACAAAATGTTTCCATCGAGAACATACTCTATTGCCAATCTTCTCAAAGTTCGTTTGTCATTCTCAGTTGCTTCAGCTGGATAAGCTCGATACTTCACATACTGAAGAATATTGTAATACCAAGGGAGACCATATTCCTCATCTTTCTCAATGTTACAGCAATGAACTGACATTTCTCTTATACTCATTCGAATAGGCATCATCTGAAACTGATCATCAATCTTAAACATGGCTGCTAACGTAGCCAGAGCATCCGCCATTTGACTTTCTTCACGGGGAAGATAAGTGAAAGAAATTTCTTCAAACTCTTTGATCAAATTCATCACCAAGTCCATGTATTCTATCAATTTTGAATCTCGAGTCATCCATTCCCCTCGAAGTTGATAAATAACCAAAGCAGAATCGCCAAATACTTCCAGGCTTTTAATTTTACGCTCAATTGCAGCTTGAATACACAAGATACATGCTTCATATTCTGCCATGTTGTTTGTGCATTCAAATGCGAGCCTACTAGTAAAAGGATAATGATCTCCTTCTGGTGAAACTAGTATTGCCCCAATTCCATGTCCCACAGCATTCGAGGCACCATCAAAGTTCATTTTCCAAGCTTCATTATTCGGAGCATCTTCTTCTGTCGCAAATATACTCATTAAGTCCTCATTTGGAAAATCAAATTTTACTGGCTCATAGTCTTCGAATGTTCTACTTGCCAGGAAATCAGCAATATAACCTCCTTTTAATGCTTTCTGATTTATATAACTATGTCAAATTCGGACAAAAACATTTACCATCTTGCCATCCTTCCAGTTATAGCCGTTGATTCCATCAGGTATTTAAATTACCCATCTTGCACTTCTTGTTGAATATGAATTTTTGAACTGATTGCACTTGATCAACTTTGTAATTTGAGGTTCAATGAATCACCCATCTTGATTCAATTTCTTTTCTTTTTTCATCTTTTTTTTCTTTTCTTCTTTTTTTTTTCTTTTTTTTCTTTTTTTCTTTTTTTTGATGGATGAGCATAAGACTTCAATTGCCTTGCCTCCTTTTACTCTTGCATTTATTATTCTTGATTGAATTTGATCTTTAAGCACCTCATATTTGACATGCCTTGTGCTTCAAAACTCTCTTTACTTCATGGAGATTAGTGTTGGTAATAAAAACTCCAGGTGGTGTGATACATCAAATATTGTCTCAGCCTCTTAGTAGTACATGCTAAAGCACATTACATCTTTTCAATCGAGGAATATCGACTCTCACAGTCAGTGAATTTCTTACTGAGATAGTAAATAACTCGTTCTCTTCTTCCAGTTTCATCATGATGTGCCAGTATACATCCCATTGACTTCTCAAAGACAGTCAAGTATAAGATAAATGGTTTGTTTGGGATGGTGACATTAAAACCAGAGCAACATTCTTGGCAACTATCATCCCATTCTTCTGGGTTTTTCTTTCTCAATAATCGGAAGACTGGAACACACTTCCCAATTAACTGAGAGATGAATCTGGCAATATAATTTAATTTCCCCATAAATCCTCGTACTTTTTTTCGTTCTAGGGGTTGGTAATTCCAAGATTGCTTTGACTTTATCAGGATCGATCTTATCCCATTTTCACTGACTACAAATCCCAATAATTTCCTGAAGTAGCTCCGAAAGTGCACTTGGTTGGATTAGTTTGAGCTGGTATTTTCTCAATCTTAAAAATAGCTTCCTTAATACCTTCACATGTTCTTATTTAGTTTGTCATTTGGCAATCATATCATCCATATATACTTCTATTTCTTTATGCATCAAGTTATGGAACAAAGTAATCATGGCTCTTTGATATGTTACCCCAACATTCTTTAGTACAAATGGCATCACCTTGTAACAAAATGTTCCCCACATTGTCACAAATGTTATTTCCCCCTCATTTTTAGGGTTCATTTTGATTTGATTGTATAATGAAAAACCATCCATGAAGGAGAAAAGAGCATGACCAGATGTATTGTAAATCAATGTGTCAATATGTGGCAATGAAAAATTATCTTTGGGACTTGCTCGGTTGAGATCCCAGTAGTCTACACACATCTGGACTTGGCATTTATTTTACCTTTCGGTATCTACTCTGGATTGATGTCTTCACTCATGTGAGTATATTTCTTCCACCTTGTCCCCCAGTGTGGAGGGTGATCCTTGGTTAGGGTTGAATCAGAAGAAAAAAATATATTATAGGCTCAAAAGGGACAACAAGGGATATACATATACATATATGGATAAATGAAACAAAACCGTTCATCATCTCATACACAAAAGTCCTCGCAGAAGAGGTATCCCCAAGGGATAGATTTTCAGGATTAATTTTATTCACATAAAGAAATGTAATTAATGCATGATAGAATTATTTCGAAGTAATTCTCCTTTCTGCTTCTTGCTCCCAGCATGTCTCAATTGTTTAGGCTCATCTTCAGGAAGTTGATACCAGATGCCCCACGTTGTGTCTTCTGGTAGGAAGGTTCATGCTCAAGTGAACAACTCAATGCCTTAGGTTTTATTGGTATAAAGATGTCAGTGTTGCGTCTAAAAAGATTATGGTGTGACTTTATTGAATCAAAGGTATCGGTATGACTCTTTGTATCTCCATGGATTATTCTGGGTAAAGAATCAAGGGATTGTTTTTTGTTTTGGATAAGATAAGAAAGGTCTGATCTTACCATATGTCAAAAATCTATAATTCTAGAATAATTAAAAGAATCCTTAATTCATTCGATATTAAAAGAACTAAAGATTAAAATTTGTTTAATTATTCCACCTTAGAATGTATCATAAGTTCAGTAATTTAAAAGATTAAACAATTATGAAAAACATAACAAAAATGTGTTAAAAAAACAATGTTCTCATGGCAATGTGGTAAATGTCATGGCCCCATTATTCTTCGATTATCCATGCCCCTGAATCCATCAGGTTATGGATCTTGTGGTTTCATGCCTCACAGTTCTCAGAGGAATGTCTTGAGCTTCCTATGAGATCAATTTCGTAACCCTCGGGATATGGGGACTCTTTTATCAGATCATTCTGGAAGGCTTAGTCCTACAACCAGCTGAACAAGCTCCAACTTGATTGATTTTAGCATATCGCTTCCAAGTGGTATCATGTGGTTAGGATCACTTCATCGAATCCTCCATGAATTAGCTCTATGTTTTTTAAATGCTTAAAAATTAAAATGTAGATGCAAAAATGCAAAGATGCAAATGCAGATGTAAAAATATTGATCCCAACGATGAATATCGTAGAACAATTTTCACCAGTGATAAAAGCTTTCACATTACAAGATAGTCCATTTTACAGACATGCCTTCGCTTAGATGGTTAACTCTAAAGTAAACCACTATTTCATTTAGATCCTCGTCCTTAAAAATGATGACCATGGCAATCGGATCTCACAAGCTGTCTCAGCAAGGTGCTATTACCAAGCGAATGATTGCCCTTGAAGAAATGGCCGGTATGGATGTCTTTTGTAGTAATAAGATAAGAACATTGACTCTTAACAAACTTAGTGTTGATAGAAACTTAATTGAGGTGTTTGTAAAGGATGTCGATAAGGAGCATGTTGTCCTGCTGTAAGCAAGAGCCTCTAGAACTGAAAATAAAGATGACATTGATATTGCATTGTTGGAATGCTTGATTGATTCAAATGGTAACTGGCACCGAGCATGCAAAGGTGCTCATGAACATATCTTAACCCTTTGCAATGCAAAAGAAGATGTTAAGAATAAAGTTCATTCTATCAGTTTACAGATCGTGGACTTCAGTCATAGGGTGTTGCAAGACACAACTGCCAGAAAAACAATAGAAGGTGCTGGTACTCCTTGGTAATTTGTTGGTTTGTTGCCTCTGGTTGGTCCTCCAAGGCATGACAGTGTAGAGACCATTCGTAGAGCTCTTAATCCTAGTGTCAATGTTAAGATAATTACGGGTGATCAACTTGCCATTGCAAAGGAAATTGGCTGACGACTTGGAATGGGAACAAACATGTATCCATCTGCTTCTTTTCTTGGTCATGACAATGATGCAAGCATAACTGCCCTCCCCATAGAAGAGTTGATTAAGAAGGCATATGGGATTGCTGGCGTCTTTCCGGAACACAAATACAAAATTGTGAACAAGTTGCAAGAGATGAAACACATTTGTGGAATGACTGAAGATGGTGTTAATGATGCTCCTGCTTTTAAGAAGGTTGATATTGGTATCGCTATGGCCGATGATACTGATGCGGTATGGAGCGCTCCATATATTGTTCTTACAGAACCTGGATTAAGCATTATTATTAGTGCGGTGTTAACTAACAGAGCCATTTTCCAGAGGATGAATAACTACACTATCTATGCAGTCTCAATCACTATCCGTATTATGTTTGAGTTGTGTTTATTGTTCTCATCTGGAAGTTTAATTTTTCACCATTTATGGTTCTGATCATTTACATTCTAAATGATGGAACCATCATGACAATCTCAAAGAACAGAGTAAAGTCGTCTCCCTTGCCTGATGCTGGAAACTGAAAGAAATATTTGCCACCAGAATTGTGCTTGGAGGCTACTTGACATTGATGAGTATCGTTTTCTTCTCGGTTATGCATGATACCGACTTATTCTCAGAAAAATTTGATGTAAGGTCTCTAAGGGATATGGAGGATCAAATGATGAGTGCTTTATTTTACAAGTGAGTATTGTGAGCCAGACTCTAATTTTTGTGACTAGATCACGTAGCTAGTCTTATGTTGAGCATCCCGGACTGCTACTGGTCACTGCCTTTATTATTGCACAGTTGGTTGCCACTTTAATTGATGTATATACAAACTGGGGATTTGCAAGGATTCAAGGAATAAGATGGGTGTGAGCCGCTTTACAGTGTTGTTTTTTTTACATTCCACTTGATCTAATGAAGTTCACCATTTGTTACATCTTGAGTGGAAGTCAGTGCATAAATTAGTGTGTCACTCCTAGCGATTAGATGATCGTAGATAAGAATCTACTGTTGGGTTACTCCTCGGATCAGTGAATCATTATTTCAGTCTTGAATGCTGCACAATCTTCGAGCTCACTACTTCGTCTCGGATCTTCGTCCTTGAAGATGCCCCTCAAGTGTTCTGTAATATAATTCTGTTACTGCCCCGACGGTGCTGAAGTTAGTACGTCTTATTCTTGTAACATAATTATGTAACATAATTTTTGTACGATGCTGCATAATTCTTTTAGCTCACTGCTTCGTCTCGGATCTTCGTCCTTGAAGATGCCCCTCAAGTGTTCTGTAACATAATCTATTGTTGGATTACTTCTTGGATCAATGGATCATCATTTCAGCCTCGAATGTTGCATGATCTTCGAGTAAGTCTTATTCTTGTACTTTGAACTTCTTTTAGCCCTCAGTGCATGTCTGTAAACGCAACTGCTTGATTGAAATTTTATCTCTTCTTGTGAAAATTTTCTCTTGAATATCCATTTACGGATCAATACTTTTCGCATTATGTCATGTCGATGCAATACAATGTAAAGAAAGATGAAAAAATGACACAATCAAAAGAAAAGAAATAGGTTAGTGTATACAAACAAAAGAAGTGAAATTGGTTAGTACAGGTAAGATAATTGATACATATAAATGTTATTCAAAGATGAATATAACACCTACCCTGTCATGATATCTACCCGAACATGCTTTAATTAAATAACATTCCTATCCGACATGTTATCTACCCAAAATGATTGTATTTACAAGAAATTAATCCTAACCGCATGGTATCTAGTTCGCATGTGTTATTCAATAAAATTTAAAGTAAAAAGGAAAGGTTCAGAAACGCTTCTCCTTTGTGTACACTTAATTAGGGTACCTACTGACGGACAGAGGTTCGATATAACTATATCTAGGGTGACCATTCTACGGTTCACTATATGCATGGTTTCAGCTCTATGAGGGAAATATACTCGAATTATCCTTGATGTCAGTGCCCCCTTGGGCTGCCAAACCCTCGATCCTCACCCATTACAGGTTTCGAACGGAATGAGTTCAATTCGAGGGGATTCACTACCTTATACCCATACGAGGAATAAATTCCTACGAAGGTATAAAGTATGTATCCGTGGGTTATTTGCTAAAACTCATACGAAGAATAAATTCTTACGAGAGTAAAACATTAACCCCGACTTATTTGGATCGAAGCTCGTGTCTAGAGCTTATGTCATGCAAATGTTCGTGATGTGTGTGAGGAGAAACATACCTACCTTTGACTCAAAAACGACAAGGATAAAACTCGACAAAAACTTGGATCAATCTGAAAACAAAAATTCAAATGTTAGTATGACAATTAAAATGAAGCAATTAAAAACTTCAATAAATTGATCATAAGTTAACAAAAGACTCGAACTCATAATTTCGACCACAACTTGACTCTCTAAGATAATCCCCAGTGGAGTCGCCAAGCTGTCATAACCGTTTTTAGGCTGGAACAATTGTTTATTGTTTTTAAAAACAGTTACGACTTTAATTTTGAGAAATTGGTGATTTTGAATTAATTTGAATTAAATTGAAAAGGAGTCGCCATCGACCTTTGGGTTAGGTAGGTCGGATACCTAAAAACGTCTTTTAAAAACAATTTTAAGAAAAATCGTCTTTTAAGACAAAAGTTGGTATGCATTTACCAAAGATTCGATTAAAACGGGTTCGGGAGTCGGTTACGCATAGGGAATGATTAGCACCCCCAACATCGCCCAAAATTGGTATTGTGTCACTTACACGTCGTCGTAATGGTGAAATTTATAAATCGAATATAAAATTAAAATATAATCATTTTATTGAATGTGGATTAATTTGCTTCGAATTAAGTATTTAAAGAAAATCCTTTAACTTGATAAAAAATCTTGAAATTTGTAATCCTCAGTCGGGAAAGCTATTTCAACCATTTTCTATTGTTAAAGAATATTTCCTCTTCGATAAAACGCTAAGTGAATATAAATTGAAATTTGACATTTTACTTAAAATACAATGAAATAAATTGTGAATTAAAATAACACATATTGTATCAGTAAAATAAATTAATTAGTAAAACAAAATTGATTTATTTCAAGTTCGTATTTGTTCGAATGTCGTATTGGATTGTACCACTTCGATCAAGTGATACTTTCCACTCCATTTCTACAAATCGTTGTTCTTGAAAATATTCAAATAAATAAAATATATTTAAGGAAATATGATAGAAACAAATACGATGTAAAATAAAATATTTACAACATATAATAATAATATTTACAACATGTACATACATAAGGGACTGAAATAAAAATAAACAAATATTACGAACCAAAACACAAATGAATAAAAGTAAGTATTTGAACTTACAAGGACTAACATGGTAATTACAGGAACAATGACTCTTTAATAACAATAATTATTATATTACTAAAATCATTTAAGTAAATTTAAATGTTATTTAAAAAAACCTAATACGTGATCTCATGAAAGTAAGTGATAGTTGGTAGAATAATAGTGTTGAATAGGTGCAAAGTTCCATATTTGGTAGCTTTTTCTTAGGATTCCATTTACTGTGCGCACCATCATATTCTCACTAATCAAGAATTCGAAGCTTTCTACTTCGCTAAAATAACAAATAATATTAATAAAACTTAAAGGAGTAATATAGTATTAATAAAAATTAAAAGAACTATAATGGTATTAACAAAATACACTAAAGCTAAAATCACAAACATTAAATAATACAGGTACTAAATATAAAAATAACCCATTAATAATATATACTAAAATAAAATACCCTAAAAACATGGAGGATCAGATTATAATTAAACCTAAAACACTCAATATTAAAACAGTGAAGATTATAATTAAACCTAAAACACTCAATATTAAAACAGTGACCAAAATAAAACAGACATAAATCCCTGGGCCAAATTCGAATATTAGTAAATATAACATAAAACATAAACTAGTGACTGAAATTAAATTATTGAAAACTAAAAACTCGAAATAAAACAATAATGATTTCATTAATGACCAAAATATAAGGTTACAAGGGAGGAAGGACTTAAATAGAAATTACCCCTCGCACATGCATCGGACCCTTAAACGATGTCGTTTTGATTAATATATATATATATATATATGAAATATAAGGCCAAAAATGGCCAAAGCTTCCCATTTGATTCATTTCCAAGTAGAGAAGAAAGAGAGAAAGAGTGAAAGCTCCAGAGAGCTCTCGGGAGAAGGCGAGCCTCCGCCGTGCCGGCTGCCACTTACCGGCGGTCACCGTCGTACGCCGGCGCCGGAATAGAGAGAAAAAGACGCAATTCGACGCATCTCTAGGCCCTAAGCAAGGATCTGGCCTAAAAGTGGCTCAAAAGTAATGGATCTAAGGAGAAACCTTTCGGTTTCTCCATCTCCGGCGACGAGGTATGCTATCTCCTCTCTCTCCTATTTTCTTTTCTTTTTTAGACTTTGTGTTTTGGGAGTTTTTTTTATTCACTCTATGTTTTTTTTCGAATCCTCCTCTCACCGTTCTCCTTTTTTCGTTGTTGTCTCTCCTTTATTTTATCTTTGCATACATCATTGGTAAAGACTAATGGGTTTAGGTAGATTTATCCGGATTTTTTGGGGTTAGGTATGACTTTGTTTTGATTTTGGGATGATTTGTCGATTGTTGATGATTTGTTGGTGCAGATTTGTCAATGGTTCGATTAATATCTCAGCAATGACTTCGGGATGGCTTGACGGTGATGAGGGCAGCTTGGCTTGAACGTTGAAAACGGCTGGGCTGGTGGCTGGAGTCGGCTCGGCTGGAATCTGGATCATCGAAGGCGGCTGGAGGCTTCATTTTAGGGTTTTAAACCCTAATTGGGTTTAGGCACCTCCGGGTCGGGTTAAATCCGGGCCTGAATCTTGTAAACGAGTCGACTTTTGGGTTTGCATATGTTGGGCTGAACCGGGTTTGGACTCCACATTTGGGTTTCTGAGTTATAATTGGATTGGGTCTGCAAAACTGTGTAATGCACTAAATAATACTAATAATAATATTTTTATTACTAATAATAATAATATAATAATATAATATATAATATATAATATATAATAATAATAATTTTTAAAGTCCGGGCAAAAACGGGTGTCTACAATCATAATGAATTTTGGTCAAAATTATTTTTAATGTTTTATTTTTACAAATTTTAATATTGACCTTAATTTAAATGTTTATGCATGTGATTTATTGTAAATGATATCTCTCTAACAATTAATATCAAATTTTCAAATGCATAATATTTTTAGATAGCTTTATCCACATGCACTTAAATACTATAATTGGTATTGCATAAAGTTTATTAGACTTAGATATATTGAATTTCATGTGATACTAACTTGTTTATTCATTTTTGTTGAAATTAATTTTTTTAAGTATCAATCTTTTAAAGTCAATTTTTTTAGAATGCTTTTATTGAAGGGAAGTTTTGATTTTTCAAATGAATGTTAAAGTTACTACTTACTCTCCATTATTGTTTTGAACTTTAAAGTTGAATTATTTTTTATATAACAAAAGGGGGAGAAATATGAGTTTAAAAAAATCAATTTCTCAATGAAAAATGGGAGCTTTAATATTTTCCAAAATATGTATTTTTTTCATTAAATATTTTATTAAGGGAGAGTTTTGCCAACACAGTTTTTCAAATGTTTTGTTATATTAAAAAGGATATTGTTGAACAATATTTTGTAATGTTTTGATATAACAAATTAATACAAACTATTTTTGGACTTGATTGAATTTGTTCAAAGTTTTCAAAAGTTTTCAAAAATAATTCAAAGTCTATTAAAATAGAATTTGAGCAAAAAATTATTTTCTGGGTACGTAGTACGATACTGCTCTTGCAATATTGATACTATATGAACATTACCGATATTGTTCATGTGATATTGATACCAAAGGTAAGAGAAGTATCGATACTTTCTAGGTAGTATCGATACTACCAATTGTTTTTCAACTTGCTCAAATTCCAAATACAAAATAGGTACCGATACTGCTTTACACAGTAGTATCGATACCGGTCAAGCTCAACAACTAGTAACAGCTAGTTTATTTAAATATTATAAATCGATAGTCATTAAAGGAGTATCGATACTCCTTGTCTTGGGCATTTTTATTTTGCAGAAAAAATTATCCACAACAGCTCCAAAACATCCCAACGGCTAGAAACGACACAAACTCATTCCAACATATAAAAACAAGTTGAGGACACTTGAAAAAGGGTTATAACACATATCCAAGCAATCAAGCTCAAGAGAAGAGTTTTTCATTCTTATTTTCCTTTCTCTCGTAAATATTAGTGTTTTCTTGTTTACATCTTTTTACATTTTGTAAAAGGAGAGTGGTTCTATCTTAGCTATTGAAAAGATATAGATTTATAAAGGTTATTTATTTATCTTATGAAAAAGAAAGAATAAATTAGTGAATTTGTTAGAAAATCCTTGATGGGGAGTTAAGGTAGTAATGTAGACTTGGTCTCAAACACGCAGTGTGGGGAGAATTTCGAAAAGGAATAATCTGGATTATTAGGAATGGAAGATAAGTGAGCTTTTGGAATGAAGAATGGCTTGAAGGAATAGGGCCCCTCCGAAACGTATGCATCCATCCAGATGAACCATTGGACTTCTATACGAAAGTTCATGAATTAGTCGATGATAGAGGAGAATGGAAGTGGGATAAAATGAGAATTGTGCTTCCGAAAACGGCCTTACAAAGAATAGCAGCAATACCCCCAACCGACAATGTATACAGCGACATACCAGGATGGAAAGGTTCAGACAAACGAAATTTTACGGTTAGATCAGCATATAAGATGATGAACACCAACGAGGATCATATCGATGACAGCATTTGGAATACAATCTCGAAGCTTCAATGCCTACCAAGAATAAAAATATTCTTGTGGCTCACCAGCAGAGAGCGCCTTCTAACAAATAAAGAACGCGTTCGACGCCACATGTCAATGGATCCGGAATGTGGAGTTTGTGGAGCTGAAGAAGAAGATATTAGTCAATGCCTTAGAACTTGCCCATCGGCACTCTCAACATTGAATCAACTTATAAAGCCAGACATGTTTGAGACTTTCTGAACATGTGATATAAGAAGTTGGGTGAAAGGAAGCCTAAATGGTAACATATTTCCAACCAGAGACGAGGAAAAATGGGACACTTTTTGCAGCGCTTACGTCGATCCTTTGGGATAGAAGAAACAAAAAACTCTTTGATCCAAACTTTATTGAAAAAGAAATAGTCCTAGCAAAATCCAGAAGAATTTTGCAGAAAATACGAAGGGCGAATCTAGTACAACCAACGATCACATCAAACTCCGGGAAGAGAACACAAACTGGACTCCACCCGAACCAGGATGGTGCAAGGTGAACACGGACGGGGCACGACATATTTCAACCGGTGAAGCATCATGCGGGAGGTAATACGTGACAATAGAGGTAGATGGAAACTAGGATACGCAAAGAATATTGGAATCTGTTCAACTCTTGAAGCTGAGTTATGGGGCATCTATATAGGGCTCCGATGCACTTAGAACAGCGGAGAGAAACAGGTAATCGTGGAAGCGGACAGCAGCGAAGCCATCAAAATGCTGATCGTGAACAAACCAGAAAATAACCAGCTTGACATATCCAGGTGCATAAAGGAAACGATTGAACGTGATTAGAGAGTTTCATTCAAACTCATACGCAGGACTTTGAACAATATAGCCGATGCCTTAGCTAAACTTGCAAGAGGAAGTGGATTTCAAGAGTTTCAACGGCCTCCTGGAGTAGTTGCAGATCTAATACAGAAAGAAAGCCTTAGGACTCACCAGGACTAGTCAGCTCCTGTTTGTTTTCTATCATTCTAGAACCAAAAAAAAAGTTATTGTAAAGATCAAAGAAAGTCAAAAGAGAGAATGAAGTAAAGAAAACAGCAATAATTGACTATTTGTTTAAAATTAATGTTATTATTAATGATGATGAAAAAATATACGAAAATTAATGTTACTATTAGGTGAAAAAATATATTAATTTTATTGTTTATGATGACATTCAAACATTCCACTCTTTAAAATTTATATTGAAATTTGCACCATTTATTAAATATTTGTTTTATTTAATAATAAATATATTTATTTATATCAAAATGTATTGTAAAAATATTTTGTTGTTTAATTTAATTTTAAATAGTATTATGAAAAAACCAATACTTTTCTTTCCCAACAAGACACGGAGCTTCCTCTAGTTCCATCCTTAATAACAAATCTTGCTCCTTATTTAAATAACCCAACGCCCCCTTCCTCAGATCCCACGCATTGTTCAAACAAACCAACATCCAAAGCCAATTTATTCTTTTTGTTTCTCTGTTCTTCGATCAACCAAAACTATGTCAAACCAAGCTGAATCATCCGACTCGTAAACACTCAGATCTCCATTTCCCCCCTTTCCCTTCAATGGGTTTGTTTTAGATTTCGATAATCTGATTTCGATTTGTGTTTTTCAGGAAAGGGACTAAGAGGGATTTCAGCACTGCGATCTTGGAAAGAAAGAAGGCACCAAATCGGCTCGTTGTCGATGAGGCAGTCAACGATGATAACTCCGTTGTTGCTATTCATCCCGATACCATGGAAAAGCTCCAGCTTTTTCGCGGTGACACTATCCTCATCAAGGTTTCTATTTTAGGATTTGGGTTCTTTTGTTTCGCTCGATTAATGGGTATTTGTTCATGTTTGGTGTTTGTTGTGGTTTCACGTGATTATTCCCATGGGCTTTTTTTTTGCTGTTTTGAATTGATAATCGATCTGGGTCTCTCTTGCGCTAGGTTGGATGAATGATGAGAGTTTATTGTAGGTTGTTTATTAGGTTCTTTTTATTATTATTATTTGGTTAATGAAGATTTGCTTATGTTAATTGTTTGTTGTGTTTTAGATATTGGGGTTTTGTTTGACGAATTATGAGTCTCATTGGCATTTTATGTTGTCTTGTAATCGATATCTGATTTGGGTTTCTTTTGCTGTAGATTGGAATTATGATTATGTTGCTGGGTGGTCAATATTGTTTCTCTAGTTGTGTTATTGGAATTGCAAATTTTTCTGTACAAGTTTAAGAAGTTCAATGTCTTTAAGCTTACAAGTAACTTGCAACCACTGTTGTTTTTGTTTGTTTTTGGTCCATAGGGAAAGAAGAGGAAAGATACTATCTGCATTGCTCTTGCTGACGAAACATGTGATGAACCGAAGATCAGGATGAATAAAGTTGTCAGGTCAAACTTGAGGGTTAGACTCGGTGATGTTGTCTCTGTGCATCAGTGTCCTGATGTTAAGTATGGGAAACGGGTGCACATCTTGCCTGTGGATGACACTATTGAAGGGGTCACTGGGAATCTCTTTGATGCTTACCTTAAACGTGAGTTAGTTTTAATACTTTATTCCTGACTTATATATGGATTTGTCTTTTGTAATTTATTATTAGTAGTTTTGGTGATCTAAGCAGTTAAAGAGGTAAAATAGTTCCTTTGTTTTTTAATCGATCACAAGCCCACTGGTTCATTGAATAACATAAATTAGCCTATTGAGTGCATTTTTTCACATCATAGAGTACATTTGATTGTGCATTTTTAATTGATCACTTGTTTATGTTAATTGTTTGTTTATGTTGACTGTAAATACTGACTACGGTAGTTTTGCATTTACAGCTTACTTTCTGGAAGCCTATCGCCCTGTGAGGAAGGGTGATTTCTTCCTTGTCAGAGGTGGAATGAGAAGTGTGGAATTCAAGGTTATTGAGACTGACCCTGCTGAGTACTGTGTTGTTGCACCAGACACCGAGATATTCTGCGAGGGAGAACCTGTCAAGAGGGAGGATGAGAATAGATTAGATGAGGTAGGTTATGATGATGTTGGTGGAGTGAGAAAACAGATGGCACAGATCCGTGAATTAGTGGAGCTTCCATTGAGGCATCCACAGCTCTTTAAGTCAATTGGTGTGAAGCCACCTAAAGGAATTTTGCTCTATGGACCTCCTGGATCTGGAAAGACTTTAATTGCCCGTGCTGTTGCTAATGAAACTGGTGCTTTCTTTTTCTGCATCAATGGTCCAGAGATCATGTCAAAATTGGCCGGAGAGAGTGAAAGTAATCTCAGAAAAGCATTTGAAGAAGCAGAGAAGAATGCACCGTCCATTATCTTCATTGATGAAATTGATTCAATTGCTCCCAAACGAGAGAAGACAAATGGTGAAGTTGAGAGGAGGATTGTCTCTCAGCTCCTGACCCTGATGGATGGGCTCAAATCCCGTGCTCATGTTATTGTTATTGGGGCCACAAACCGTCCCAATAGCATTGATCCAGCTCTCAGAAGGTTTGGAAGATTCGACAGGGAGATTGATATTGGTGTCCCCGATGAAGTTGGCCGTCTTGAGGTGCTTCGTATCCACACAAAGAACATGAAGCTGGCTGAAGATGTAATGTCAAAAATCAAAACTTATTTTCTTTCCTCAATGATTGTACTTTTTTCTGTCTAAACAAGTATCGAATCTGATTAGTTTCCCAACTCAATGCAGGTTGATTTAGAAAAAATTTCTAAGGAAACCCATGGTTATGTCGGTGCTGATCTTGCAGCCCTCTGTACTGAGGCAGCATTACAGTGCATCCGAGAGAAGATGGATGTGATTGACTTGGAAGATGATTCTATAGATGCGGAGATATTAAACTCTATGGCAGTTTCAAATGAGCACTTTGCAACTGCTCTCGGAACAAGCAATCCATCTGCTCTGCGTGAAACAGTGAGTATAATGAATATGTTTGATGTACATATTCACTGTCAATTATGATCTTTTTGGGTTAATTTGGTTTTTAATATGTTTTTTCCTTGCATCTGGTCAGGTTGTCGAAGTGCCCAATGTCAGTTGGGAAGATATTGGAGGTCTTGAGAATGTTAAAAGAGAGCTTCAAGAGGTAATACGGTTCACCGATTTTGGTTACTGCTTATTTTACTCTCCCTTTTAAACTTTTTTAAATTTCATCAATACTGGGATTAATTTGTTACTTTTGGCAAGTAGACTGTTCAATATCCAGTGGAGCATCCCGAGAAGTTTGAGAAGTTTGGAATGTCGCCATCGAAGGGAGTACTATTCTATGGCCCTCCAGGATGTGGGAAAACTCTTCTGGCCAAAGCTATTGCCAACGAATGTCAGGCAAACTTCATTAGTGTCAAGGGTCCCGAGTTGCTTACAATGTGGTTTGGAGAGAGTGAGGCCAATGTCCGCGAAATTTTTGACAAGGCTCGTCAGTCTGCTCCTTGTGTCCTCTTCTTTGATGAACTTGACTCAATTGCTACCCAGGTATGTTCTAAGGTTAATTCATTTATCCGTTTCTGGCTTTGAACACGGATTACTCTAGCAATGAAATTATGCCTGTGGTGCACGGTGTCGGTTTTTCGAGAAATGCTGATTCATACTATATGTTGCAGAGAGGAAGCAGTGTTGGAGATGCAGGGGGTGCTGCTGATAGGGTTTTGAACCAGCTTCTTACTGAGATGGACGGCATGTCTGCCAAGAAAACTGTTTTCATAATCGGAGCCACCAATCGACCAGACATTATAGATCCCGCACTTCTGCGACCGGGTCGTCTTGATCAGTTGATCTATATCCCTCTCCCCGATGAGGATTCTCGCCATCAGATCTTTAAGGCTTGCTTGAGGAAATCACCGCTTGCAAAGGAGGTTGATCTCAGAGCTCTTGCCAAATATACTCAAGGCTTCAGTGGAGCTGATATTACCGAAATCTGTCAACGTGCATGTAAATATGCCATCAGAGAGAATATCGAGAAGGTATGACTATGCGTGTTTCCTCCCGGTTTAATTTACTATTAGTTCTTATCGATGAATATGATCATAACATGAGATACTGTTATGTTTTCCCAGGACATCGAGAGAGAAAGGAGAAGAAGTGAGAACCCTGAAGCTATGGAGGAAGATGAGGATGACGAAGTGCCAGAAATCAAGGCGGCGCATTTCGAAGAATCAATGAAGTTTGCTCGAAGGAGTGTGAGCGATGCCGACATCCGCAAATACCAAGCATTTGCTCAAACATTGCAACAGTCAAGGGGATTCGGAAGTGAATTCAAGTTTGCTGAATCCGGGTCCAGGGCTGCAACATCCGATCCTTTTGCAACTTCGGCTGGTGGAGCCGATGAAGATGACCTTTACAGTTAATTTTTATTTTTTTTCAATTATGGCAAAGACCTTTTTTATTCACTTATGATCTTTTATGCAACTGTTGAACCAAGAAGGGAGTCTTGCTTGGCTAATCCATGGAGTTCAAAATAACATTTTATTTAAACTTTATTTTATTTCCGGGACAAATTATATATTTTATTTTCTAATATTGTTTTATTCTCTTGATTTAGATCATACACGATTAAGGTGGAAACAGATTTGTTTAAAAATTTATTTACATATTAACAACTCAAATTACAAATATGTTAAAAATTATTTTTTAAGCATACACACGTTTTTAATATGTATCATATGACACGTTTTGAGATTGTAAGTATTTGGTTTAACATTTTTCTTTCATAATAAATCAATGCTAGGGTAAAATCAAGACGATATATATTAAGCTTTTATGTGAGACTGTAAGACAATTGAGGAACATTTAGAGATAATGAACCTGTGCTAGGTTCTGTCTTCTCCTCCTATTTTCATCACAACTTTTCTCATTTTCGTCCGTTTTGACCCACTTCTCTTCCATGTTCTATTTCCATATCTTTCTCTCAGTTTTTTTATAGCTAGTCATAAAAATATCTGATAAATCATTTTCATTAAATTGTTTAAAATTTTATTTTTATAAATATAGATAAAGCTAAGGAGTATTGAAAAGTCGATCGTATCTTTTCTTAAAAAGTGATTTTATATAAACTAAAATATATATTTTTTGTTGTTGATGATCTTATTATTATTTGAACCGATAAATGTTTAAATTTTATTTCATTGATATTTAGTACATACACGTGCATTACATTTCCACATGAAATACGTCATGGAAAAGCGTCAATTCTAAGAAATAAACATGGGCTGGCAGCTGTTGTTATTGTCAACGGGTCTGCCCCGTAGTCCTACAACGTTGTCGATAATTATATGCACGTGTTGAATTGCCTTTGGTTATTGTGCCCTTTGCTATTTTAATTTTCAGATAATTACATAAGATGTTCCTGAATTATGACTCATATTCTAAATTAGTCTCTAAATGCTATGTCATTCAATATTAGTCCCCAAGCTATGACAGATTTTAAATTAATCTCTAAAGTTTAAAATATTATATATCAATCCTTAAACTATCAATATTATTCCATTTTGATCCTCTCTTTAACTCAACTGGTTAAAAAATTAATATGTTTTTTAAAGGTATTGGGAATTAATGTCTTAATCTTCTTAAAAATTCTTAAATCTATAAAAAAAATAGATTAAATTTTGTAGAAGGTCGCGAGTTCAATTCTCATTACCTTCAAAACTCAATTATTTCTTAAAAAAAGGTTATGAGTTCAATTCTTGTGACTAAAAAAAACTAATAGAGTTAACAACATGTTATCATGAGGATCGAAATATAATTATATTGATAGTTTAATTTTTTTTATTTTGATCATTAAGGTTTAAAAAAAATTAATTTACTTATTGAACTTTCGATTTGTTGTTATTTTGGTCACAATATCATTAAATTCTTAAAGGCGTTATGACTAGATATTTGTCTTTAAAAAATATATGAAGTACCCCCCCCCCAATTTTTTTTATAAAAAAAGCTAATTTCATATTCTCTTTTCATTTCTTGTGATGAAGCATTTTCTTTCAAATCTCAGCGATGGAGAGGTGGTGTTGGGTTTTTCGGAAGCTCGAATCGACAACCGAAACGATTTGCAAAGAGGGGTCGGAATGGTTTTGTGTTTAGGGAGTAAGGAGATTGAAAGATAGAGAATTGCACAACGATTTATAGTGGTTCGACTTTCTCAACCAAAGTCTACGTCCACTACCTTAGCTCCTCACCAAGGATTTTCCAACAAATTCACTAATTTATTCTTTCTTTTAAGGACAAAGAGTAACCTTACAAACTCCATAGTTTTTCCATGCTAAACTATAACCTTTTCCCTAGCTTTTACACGGGATAAGCTAGAACATTTCCCCTTTACAAAAGGATAAAATAAGTAAACAAGAAAACCTCTCTAAGGTAGGTGTTTACAAGATTGAGCTCACAAGAACAAAATATTTACAAGAGAAAATGAAATCACAAGAACAAAATATTTACAAGAGAAAGATGAAATAAGAATGAAAAAAAAACTCTTCTCTTGTGTTTGATTGCTTGGATAGTTGTTCTCTTACTTCTTCAAGTGTCCTTAGCTTGTATTTATAGCTTGAAATGTGTTTGAAGTCATATCTAGCCGTTGGGGATGTTTTGGAGCCGTTTGGGAATGATTTTTCTGCAAAAATAGGCTGCCCAGAATGGGGGGAATCGGTACCCCTTCATAGGGAATCGATACTCCTTCATAATATTCAAATATTATGATCGTTGGGCTGATGAACATGAGGGAATCGGTACCCTAAAGGGGGGGAATCGGTTCCCTCCGAGTAATCTGTTATTTCTCGAAGTCAAACCATGCAGGGGGAATCTGTACCCGGGGAATCAATTCCCCTGGGGGAATCTATTCCCGGGGAGTCGATACCCCCTGGGGGGAATCTGTTCCCCCTGGGGGGAATCTGTACCCCCTGGGGGGGTAATCTGTACCCCCTGGACAATCTGATTTTTCTTGAAACCCTTTAAAAAGAAAATATTTTTGGCTCGATTAAGGCTTGAAATACTTTGTAAAATTGTTTTAAAATAGTTTAAGTATAAAACACAATTTTACACTTTAGTAAGGATTAAAATGAACTTTGAAAGACTTGGAGTAATATTTTGATATTCGAATAATTACATCGAATATACTTAGAAAATCTTTTGTAAAATCTTAAAATTCATTTAACTTAATTTGTTATATCGAAACATCAAAATGTTTTCAACAATCTCCCCCTTTTTGATATAACAAAACATTTGAGTAATTTTAAGATTTTGAAATCAAGTTTGAAATTACTCCCCCTTATTTTAACACTTCTCCACTTTAACACCTTAACACTTCTCCCCCTTTTTGTTAAATCAAAAAGACTCTAATCTTTGAAGTTCAAAATAACTTTGAGAGTAAGTAATAAATTTGACATTTTAAAAATTATTTGAAAATCAAAGCTCCCCCTCAATAAATACATTCCAAATAAAATTTAGCTTTAAGAACAAGACACTTAAACAAAATTGAATTTCAACAAAGAATAACAAACATGTTAGTAGCACATGAAATTCAATATATCCAAGACTAAAATACTTTATGCAATACCAATTGTTGAAATTTGATATCAATATCAATTGTTAAAATTAAGTGCATATGCATAAAGTTTTCCAAAAATGCTATGCATTTGAAAATTTTGATATCAATTGTTAGAGAGATATCATTTTCATTTAAACCACATGCATAAACATTCAAATTTAGGTCAAAAATTTTAAAATTTGTAAAATCAAAGTATTTGAAAAATTGATATCAATTGTTAGAGAGATATCAATTGCATTAAAACCAATTTTGACCAAAATTTTATTATGATGAACTAAAAATTCTTAAAAATTAATATAACTTTAAAATGTTCATCATAATCATCTTTTCAACATACATGAGATTAAAACAATGATGCATAATCATTTAAAAACAAAACTCATGCATGCTTAAAATCAAATGAGCAACCAAATAACCAAAATTAAAAGCATTAAGCTTAGAGGTTACCCATTCCTTTTTCATGTGTGGCTAGAGCATCTTGAATATCATCACTCTCATCACCATTACTCCTACACACCTACAAGAGACATTTAAGTAGATTTTGGTATCCAAATTGTTTTGGATCCTTGGACGTTAGTTTCAATGCCCCTTGTTCCTTTTGGAACCCATACTTGCCTAATTTTAAAACGTTTTCCTTTCTTCAAAGGACAAGTATGTTTCAAATGACCATGATAATGACAATGTGAGCATATTGTCATTATTGAACTAAATGAATTATTTAAAATGATTTCTTTTTCTTTTGTTAAGCATTCAAGCTTAAC